GGGTGGCCGGCAAGGTGAGGGCGCAGGCCGGCGGCCCGGAGGGCGGTTGCGCCGGCAGTGGGGGCGCAGGCCGGGGTCCCGAGCGCACCCTCCGCGGGCCGGGCCGCTCCCGCCCCGGGTGGAGGCCGCAGTCGGCCTGCCCTCGGTCCCGTGAACCCCGAGGGGCTCCGGCGCCCGGGCGGCGTTCACCTGCCGCTCCTCCAGGTGCCGTCTACGAGTCGGGCCTGGCCGGGCTCCGGGCTGCACCTGCGCCGCTCCGGGCGCGCAACTCTGGCCAGCCCCTCACGTGGACTGCGGGCAGAGAGTAGCTGGCCCGTTGGTGGCCTCACTCGGGTGGGGTCCCGCCGCGGGCCTCCGTGCTCCCAGGCTCAGCCTTTTGAAGAGCCAGCCTTGTGCCCCGCCTCCCCGAATGGGTGCCGCGTTTCCGCCACCGGAGACTGCAGTTTCTGGTGGGAAGAGGAGTGGAGGCAGAGGAGGGAAGCGAATGGGACCCGTATGTCCGTAGGGAGTGAGCTCTCCGAGACCTCTCTGTTTTGGGCTGGGTTAGCTCTCACACGTCCTAAGCTAGCCGAGGTAAGACGGAATCACAGAACGCCTGGGTACTGCAGCAAGCTTTCAGAGTGCTCGTTGGGACCGCCTGGGATCCTCCCACCGTCCTCCACCGGGACTAGATTCCAGAGGCTGGACTCTACAAAGTACTATGCCATGTGGGAGGAGGAGGACAGCGAATCCAGTGTCCCCTGCTGTCTCAGCTAGTTCATTCATCCAAGTGCCTTTAATTCCCTTCTACTTCCTGGACTCTGGCCTGTACAGGTGATCATTTCAGTGTGTCATCAGCTGGTCCCAAATGTAACTGATGCATCTGTTCATTTGCAGACCAAGTATACACTGATCGATGAGCAGGACATCCCTCTGGTGGAGAGCTTCTCCTTCGAGGTAAGGAAGCATCCTCGAGGAGCGTGGTTGTCCCCAGAACACTCTTCCTGCACTGTGAGCCTGAAATCTAGGCAGATGCTGCCTGTGGACTACTGTGTCAGTAGCGTCCACTGTGGACTCTTCCCACGGCTCCCCTAGCCGGGATACGGGTCTTTCCCTGTGTCCATGCTGGCCGTCATCTCTTTCCAAAAAGCAAACCAAATTCTTGTAATTAGTGACTAAATGTCTTGCACCTGTTAAAGCTTCTGCTCCTTAGTGTCCTGCTTTGGTCCTGCCTGTCCCTTTCCCTGCTGCTCTGGAGTGCCCTACTGTGTGTGCTGTCCTTTCGGCTCCTGACCCTCTGTATGGTGACAGCCCGGGGCCTCTGAAGGCATGTCTTAGGTCTCATCGTCAGCCACGGTGCTATACAGAGCTGTCGGAACGCTCCTGCCGGACTGGTGCCAGAGTGGTGGTCGGGCACCTAGGGAGGGGGTGCTCAGGACATAGTCGAATGTCCCACATGTGCCATTTGTACTCCCAGCTTGCTTGTTTCCCCCTTTCCTAGGAGGAGTTTGGAGCCGTGCTGAGAACCGGATGTGTTTAACAACCTCTTCCCTTTTTCTTCTCAGGCCCGGATGGAAGTAGATGCTGATGGAAATGGTGCCAAGATATTCGCTTATGCCTTTGACAAGAACCGAGGACGAGGCTCTGGGCGGCTGCTACATGAGTTGTTGTGGTGGGTACCTCCAGCCACGGTCCTGTTGCCTCTGACCGTCCTTTCCCCGAATCTAAGGGAGTACCTGAACATCATCAATCAGGCTGTGATGGATGGGCGTGGGAGGACTGCCTGGGGTCCAGGGACTGAGTCACCAAGTGCTGTCTGTCTCGGGTGCCCTGACATAGATGCTGGGTTCCTGCCGCCAGCCTAGTCCTGGAGCGTCCCCATCTGGGTGACTAGAACCGTTCAGATCCTGTGGCTGGTTGTCTTTCTGTTTGTGAGGTAGATGAGAAAAACGGCGTTACAGGATAATGGAAATTTCCCACCAACTTATAGAAGCCCGTGGTACTTCGATAATAGCATGGTTTTGATAAACCAAAATGCAGTCCTCGTATGTGCTGCTACATGGTGGTTGGGCCCTGGGAGGGAGCGTGCTGAGAATCATCAGGTCAGTCACAAAAGAATGGGTGTTAGGTATTAGCTCATCGTATTTATGTGAGATGTCTGTAACAGACAGATACAGACCAAGATTTGTGGGGGGCGGAGGGAGTCATTCTTTGGGGCACACCCAGTGGTGGTGGCCTCACAGCTTTGTCAACATAGTTACTGTCACTGACTTGTTGATGAAAGTACTGGAATAGCAAATGCTTTGTCACGTGTGTGTGTAGCATGGGTCCACTGTGAGCCTTTCTGTCCCCTAGGGAGCGGCACAGGGGTGGCGTGGCCCCCGGTTTCCAGGTGGTGCACCTCAATGCTGTGACTGTGGACAACCGGCTGGACAACCTGCAGCTGGTGCCCTGGGGTTGGCGGCCCAAGGCCGAGGAGCTCTCCAGCAAGCAGAGGTGGGTCTTCTGAGCCAGGGGGACAGCCCCGAGACTCTGTGACACTTTAGGGATGTCTGGTGGCACACCTGTAGGTGCAGGACCCGAGTGATCGAGGCCACCAAGGTGACCAGATGGTGCTCTGCCTGGCCCAGGCCTCCACTCTGGCAGGGGCCCTTGCTCGGGCGCCTTGATGCTAGCTTTGTCCACTCCCATGGCGGGTCCGTGTGGTTGTCTGTCTTGTGTTCTTGGCTGTGAGAAAAGCTGATCCTGGCTTCCTGAGAGTCGCCGCTGGTGGTGTGAGTCCATCCAGTGTGTCACCACATTGGTGGTGGTGGCGGCAGCCACTTTCTGGATGTCACCAGCCCGGGCACAGCAAGGTGGGGTGGGGCTGGGAGCTCCAGGACAGCCCTGTGTACGAGGTGGCGCGTCACAGGCCCCATCCTTTTGCTGTACTTTGCCACTGGCTTTTTGCTTTGCTCTAATACCAGTGTTGCGACTCTCAGGCTGCTGTGGGGAAGGGTTGGATTGGTCCAGAATTTTGGCAGCAAGTGATGAGAGTGGAGTTTGGTTGGGCTGAAGCAGAACTTAGTTGCGTCCTGGACTCATAGCTGAAGTGCTGAGAGCTGAAGCAGGCGGTGGGGCTCTGCGGGCACACAGAGAACAGGGTGGCCACTCCAGTGCATCTGGGAAAGTCCTAGGAAAGTCCTCATTGTCCACCACTCAGCTGGAGTTGGGGGTCTCTTACCACAGGATGGAGGAGTGATGTGTCACCTGGGTGGCGACACATCTGTGTCACATCTATGACACATCAGTGATTTGGCCACCTGTGGCTGACCATATACCATTTCCCTGGATCATTGATATGGGGCTTGGAAACCTCAGCTGGCCGTTGTCCACTGGCAGGGCTGGCTACCTCTGGCCAGGAGTCGTCTGAGCTGGCTCAGCTCCTGACCTTCATCAGGGGTCCCGTCTTGGTCAGGCAGGAGAATCAAGCAGAGGTTTTCCCGTCCTCATTTTAGCCTGTGGGGAGAGCTCAGTGGACGAGGCACCTTCCTACCATCAGAAGCACGTCTGTGTGTTGGACTCCTCAAAAGATGGGGGGCTTCCCACCACCTGCTGTGGTTCTCAGCTCTTCGGCCTGGGGCATGGGGTCAGCTCTGCAGCAAGGTGACCACCAGGGTTGGGAGCCGAGTAGCTGGCAGGCTGGGTCAGGCCACACACACCCTTGGGCAGGGTGACCCTGCTCTCCTGGCACCTGGAGACAGATGGCTGCAGAGGTGGGCTGAAGAAACAAGTGACAGGAACTGCTTGGAGAGTGTGCTGAGAATGAACTTCTTGTAGGGAGCAGAGCTTGTACTGGCTGGCGATTCAGCAGCTTCCCACGGACCCCATTGAGGAACAGTTCCCTGTTCTGAATGTCACCCGGTACTACAACGCCAATGGGGACGTGGTGGAGGAGGAGGAGAATTCCTGCACCTACTATGAATGCCACTACCCTCCCTGCACCATGATGGAGAAGCAGGTACGTTGCCCGCTGGCTCCTCCTCTGCCCTCGCGCTGACTGGGGCTCTGGGACAAGGGCTGACGCAGCCTGCTGTTTCCCACAGCTCCGGGAGTTCAACATCTGTGGGCGGTGCCAGGTGGCCCGTTACTGCGGCTCGCAGTGCCAGCAGAAGGATTGGGCCGCCCACAAGAAGCACTGCCGAGAGAAGAAACGCCCTTGTCCGCATGAGCTGGAGCCGGAGCGGTGACCGCCAGGTGCAGGCCCTGGCCAGCCAGAGCCCTAGGGCACAGTGGACACACACTGGTGGTTGGACCTGGAGGCGCAACCACAGAGGCCTGTGCAGCCGACGCCCCTGGAGTGGGCACCCCAGTGCTAGTCATGCGGAGCCAGCAGGCTGCCCGCCTGGACGTTCCTATTATTTATATGTTAATATGTTTGTAAACTCATGTACAGTTTTTTTGGGGGGGAGGTGGTGGGAGGGTTAGAAATCACAAATAGAATTGTTTGCTGTGATCCTCAAATGGTTGGCTGTCAGCCACGCATCTCAGATGGCCGCAGAGCGGGCGCTTCCCACCCAAGCACCCGAACACCCGAGCCAGCAGCTAGCAGAGGAGGGTGAGCGCTGGTGCCTGCTCGCACCATCTGCATGGAAGTTGTGTTTACAAGCGAAGTAAAGGAGCGAATCACTTGAGTCTGGGCCTCACTGCTCTCCTCACCCCCGGCTAATGGGACTGGGCAGAGCAAGCTGGGGAGAGGCAGGGGGACGAGGCTTGGCCTGGCCTCTTGGGAATCCCGGGCATGTTCACAAGGGTGGCTGGCGGGGATCTTCCAACTTCTCCAGGCCTCGTTGGGCTGGAGTTGGGGACTGTTGGGGTTTCAAAGTGGCACCCAGCCGGCTTGCTGTGGTCTCTGTCCCTCTTTTTGGGGGACCACCCGTTGGCACGTGAGCCTGTCTATCCCAAGGGGCCTGAATGATGTGTCTAGTCTCATGACCTGCCGCCATCCTCAGCACCATTGTCATCAAGTCCCAACCAGTGTGTGAAGCGGAAACCCAGCAAGCTGGTGCTGTTAGTCCCTGCAGGCCAAGTGTGTTTGCTGAGCTGCTGGTGGCGCCATCCTAGAGTACGCTGTGGGCCCTCAACACTGTACACAGACCTGGGGGCTGGGGGAGGCAGCTGGTGCCCACCCAGACTCCTGTCCTCTTTGTCTTGTACATCTACATCTGAGCTCCATGGCAGTGACAGGGTGTGTGGGCTGGGTTTGGCAAAGTTCTCTGTCCCAAGTAGACAGGTCACCAGCTGAGGCCACTGAAAATGCAGCTGACATCTTAGTGCCCTGTTGCTTTCCTGACTAGCCTTTGAGGTTGGCTGCCTTCTGAGCTGTGGCTCCCATGCATTATCTCCCTCCTACATCCTCCAACATAGGACCCCAGTGCACCTGGCTCTGCTTACCTGTGTCACACGCAGAAAGGTGATGCCCCCGGCCCTAGTCCCACCCTCTATGCCTCACAGCCACCCCGGGAATCTGAAGGGGTCAGGTGCAGTTGGAACGACCCTTCGAGTCCGAGCCCACGCAGACACAGCTGTCCGCTGCCCTTGCGCAGGGGCTGAGCGAAGACCGCAGTCCATGAGGACGACACCTGAGGGGTGCCGCCGGCCGTCCACGGGTTCCAGGAGGCCCACCGGCCAGCAGGGGGCGTGTGAGCCGGGCCGGAAGCTCCGCCTGGCGCCCCGGAAGGTTTCTATGGGAACTTCCCGGCCCGGCTGAGCTGCGTCCTACCCCTCGCGTCCTGTCCGGCGTCCGGCATGGCTTCTTGTCGCTGCCCTGCTGGGAGCCCGAGCGCGGAGTTCCCCCAGACGGAAGTCTTCGCGCCGGGAGCCCACGGCCGGCTGCTGCAGACGGTGGACACCGAGTACACGGCAGACTCGGTGGAGTGGTGCCCGCTGGAAGGCTACCGACACTTGCTGGCGTGCGGCACCTACCAGCTGCAAAAGCCGGAGGACAGGGCCTACGACTCGGAGAGCAAGGTGCGGGGCGGCGCCCTCGGCCGACGTTTCTGCGCTGGGCTCCGGTTTCGGTCCAGGGAGTCAGGATGGAAAGAAGGCCAGGAAATCGGGAGTTACTGGCGGGGTACACGCGGTGGTACAGAGAAAACAGAACCTCATCGAAACTGTACCTTAACTCTCGCAGGCATCAGTAAAGATCCAAAGCGGGGTCCTGCTGGGAGGGAGAAGGGGAAGCGAGTGCTCCCCAAACCAAGCCGTGTTGGCAGGTGTAGAAGCAACGTTCATTGCTGTCTGGGGGATAGCTCCCCTGCGCCTACTAATCTCCTGGCAAGACATGCTTGACCCACTAGGAAGCAGCCAGGCAGGGAAGCCGCCTTCCCTGCTTGCTGGGGTTCTCCAAGTCTGTTAGGGTAATGCAGAGAATGTACCTTCGTTTTTTGAAGAATGAAGTGGACTTGGAAGAGGAGTCTCAAACCCGCTTAGGTCGCCTTTACTTGTACACCTTCAACGAGGAGAATTCTGCCTCTGTGTTAGTTGAAACCCACAGAAGAGACATGGCTGCTATCCTGGACATGAAATGGTACAGTTTTGATAACGGCACTTCTTCTGAAATTTGTCACGAGTATTTATTTAGCTATTCTCTGATTCAAGGGAAGTTACAAGATAGGGAAACCTGCCCTGTGCTTTTATCTGTACTGCCCCACCCCTGTTGGGACTAGGGGCTCATTCCCTTCGGCATTCTCTAGCCCCAGAGTTAGGGGAGCACTACGAGCTTCGGAGTTCAGGCACGGGGAGTCTTTGCTGGGGTCTCACCCAGTGTGGGTTGAAGTGTACGATAAACTCATGGTGCCTCTGGTCCCAGTGTGCCCTGTGTCTGCACTGAGATGTAAGTTCTCTCCCCAGGTGCCACATTCCAGTGACCGACCACCCCATCTTGGGCTTGGCGGATGCTGGTGGATCCCTACAGCTGCTCTGCTTGATGGACTCCAAGGTCAGTGACAAGTCGCTTGAGGTGGGGTTAGAAGCTGAGAAAGCATGCTAGATGAGCATTTTGCAGAATACTTTTTTTTTCTTACGATTATGATTTGAGTGAAAGTTTACAGAACAAATTGGCTTTCCATTCAGCAATTCATACACATCTTGTCTCATGTCATTGATTGTGATCCCCACAACGTGCCTGCACCCTTCCCATATTCTCCCTGTTCTTACAGTCTCCTTCATCCTCCTTTCCCTTTTTTTAATTTTTTTATTGTGAACTGAGTGATAGTGGACATGGGAGAACATCGGCTTTACGCCATCATTTCATTGCAGTGATTACAATCTCCTCCGTGCATCATCATTCAACAGGATTTGCTTCCATTCCCTCTGTTTTTTTCTGAGCTTTTAAGGAAAAATTGAAAAACATGGCCCCAACCAAAAACAAGCAAACCTTGTGAAATATGGCCTTAAACCAGGGGTGAGGAACCTTCTTTTTGCCAAAATTATGACATCATTCATGGGCTACACAAAAATATTAACTTAAAAATTAGCCTGCTGTATTTGGTCAAGGGTCCTGGTGTGGCGTGGTAGGTTAATGCACTGGACTACAAACGTCAGTTTGAACTGCAAGGTTGGTGGTTCAAGCTCACCAGCTGCTGCTTGGAAATCCTATCCAGGGTCACTATGGGTTGGAAGTGAGTCAACGGCACTTAACTACAACAAATATTTGGTCAGACATTTAACTCCTGATGCGATGGCTGGAACTGCAGTTGCCTTGGCAGATCACATGATTTCGAGGATCTTAAATGGCCAGAGGGCCAGACCTTCCCCACCTCTGTCTTAAACAAAGGAGACCGACTGCACAGTGTAAGTGCTCAGCTGCTAATGGGAAGGTCAGTGGTTTGACCTCACCAGCTGCTTCATAGGAGGAAGCTGAGGTTATCTGCTTCCTTGGAAACCCTATGGGACCCTTGGAAGCCCTCTGCTGTCCTCACTGGTTTCTGTGAATCAGAATCGATGGCAGCTGGGTTGTCTGACACAGAAGAACTGACAGATATTTTGACTGATGGAGCTATCTGACTGTGGGTGGTGGTGACCAGACTCTTTCTTTCTTCAGTGAACTCTTTCTTCCATAACAGGATATGGAGACCGCTAGGCACACGGCTTCTTTTGTGGGAAGATGCCCAGGGAAGTTCCGCTGTTTGGGGTCCCTCAGGCTCTCCTTATAAACACCCATGTGGGACTTCTGTCCTGAGGTGCATAGATCTTGTCATTGAGTCGGTTCCGACTCCTAGAGACCTGTGCACAAGCGAACAAAATGCTCTTTACAGTCATACTTGAGCCCATTGCCGCCGCCGCCACTGTGCGATCCATCTTGTTGACGGTCTTCCTTTTTTTCAATGATCCGCCACTTTTCCAAGCAGGATGCCTTCTCCAGGGACTGGTCCCTCCCGATAGATAACGTGTCTGAAGTACGAGAGACGAAGTCTAGTCATCTTGGCTTCTAAGGAGCACTCTGGCTGTCCTGTTTCCAACACAGATTGGTCTGTCCGTAGTACTTTTGATATTCTACCAAGATCCATAATTCAAATGCATCAATTATTCTAAAGTCTTCTTTATTCATGTCAACTTTTACATGAATATGAGGTTATTAAAAATACCATGGCTTGGATCAGGCACACCTTAATTCTCAAACTGACATCTTTGCTCTTCAAACACTTTAAGGAGGTCTTGTGCAGCAGATTTGCCTAGTGCAATATGTCATTGATTTCTTGATTGCTGCTTCCGTGAGTGTGATTGCTGATCTGAGCAAAATGAAGTCTTTAACAACTTCAATCTTTTCTGTATTTATCATGATGTTATTTATTGGTCAAATGGTGAAGATTTTTGTATTCTTTACATTGCGGTGCAACCTACACTGAAGGCTATGGTCTTTGATCTTCATCGGTAAGTCTTTTAAATCCTTTTCACTTCCAGCAAACAAAGTTGTATCATCTGCATATATTGTAGGTTGGTAATGAGTCTTCCTCCAATCCTGATTCCATGTTTTTCTTCATATAACCCAGCTTCTCGGATTATTTGCTCAACATACAGATTGAAACAATACAACATTGCCACACACCTTTCATGATTTTAAAC